GAATATTCCAAACTGACAGAAAGACGAGAAACACAGCCATCATTATAAATAAATATTATCAAATGAAGTCAGATTGGGATTTATTGTTGAAGCCAAGCTACATATGTATAAACTAAAAGCTTTAGCTAATAAACTGCCTAGGTTTTGACATGATGCCATATTCTGGAAGGTAGCGAAGCCTGGCCAAGCTTTCCTGTACAAATTACTCTTTCCCCTTAAGTGGAAAAAAGAGCCTCAGCCTAAAGAAAAACACTGGTGCTTACAGGTCACTGCAGAAAAACGTGAAAAAAAGAAAAAATTCGTATGCCAAGATGTTTGAGCCTTTCGGTTTGGTCTTTATCTGCTGTATTTAGGTGGAACATATTAACCGATTTATTTAATGTCATTCAATGTCAGTATATCTTTTGAAAACAGCCACAGAGGCAGTTGATGGAAAAATGCTAACAATAGTCTTTCATTCCCTCTTTTTTTCTCTGGATCGTCACAACTATCGAATCCATTCGTCTCTCTATTTCAGCAGTAGCCCTCCCCCTTTTTCCAGTGCATTTGACATTGACTATAAATATGGCTGTCAGTCCAGGTTAAAAGTTTTCCACAGGCTTCTGGAGTGGTCAAATAGCCCTCTGGAGTGTTTAAGTGTTTGGAAAACGGACTCATCTCCCAACTACATTTACCTATAACCTTAGTAAGTCTCTCTCTCTCTCTCCCTCTCTCTCTCTCTCTCTCTCTCTCTCTCTCTCATTTTCTTTAAAGAATTCTAGTTTAACTTAAGGGGATGAGAGCATTTTATTAACCGTGAGCCAGGAAAAGAGTCACACATTAATGCAGAGTGTTGAGTGGGAAACAGACAGTGAAATTGAAACCATGCAGTATTGGATGACATGTATTGAGTCAAACATACTTAATCATAATTTGCTCTAACACTGCCTTTGCTTTATTGCCAAATTCATATAGAAAGGTTGGATTGGAAGAACAGCTTTGTTTGTTGAAGGGGTACCAATTAATAATCCAGAGTATCATGGGTGATTGACTAAGGCTATTGATAGTTAAGGCTAGTTACTTGGTCGCTGTCGTCCAGGTGGGTATTAGTCATAGCCTCAGATCTGGGCCAGGAAATCAGGTGGCATGATGATTCTAACATTAAAATCCTCAGCCTTGCCTGATTTCATGACAGATTGTTTAAAACTCACAAGAACTGTCAGTAAGTGTGACTGCTAACTTGTAACTGCTAACTGCAAGCGTGTCTCTTTACCTGAGAATGTCGGGGTTAAGGTTTGGCTTGGGATGATTTATGATCACGTTTGTGGTTCCTGCATGTTGTAACTTTGTGTGTTCATCTATTTGTGTGTGAGTGTGTGCATGTGTGTGATAGGGATTCTTCTTCATTGCCAGGGGATTTTCCATCAGCAGAATGTTAGACAGAAACAGATGCTCTTCTGGCTCAAAAGCCAGGACACTGGAGTGGAATATCAAAAATAACCTCTCAAAGCTTGACAAAATTTTTCTTTTTTCTTTTCTTTTTTCTGCTGTTTGTTTGTTTACCCATTTCTTTATTACTGGCTTTTTCATTTTGTGTTTTACCAACTGATGCACCTAAACCTTCCTTTCTCAGGATTTTGCATATTAGATTAATATTGCAATGTAGACATTTCTAGATATTTCCTGCTCTCGTTTGTATGAAGCATCAGCACAACAGTATATGTAGTATTGGAGAAAACCTCACCTGCTAAATGACCCATCATTACCACTGGGCCCCATGATGCAGCTATGATTTCAGTATGCTATTTCAATACGCTAAACATTTATGTTGGTTATCATACAGATTTAAGGTCTGAGTAATATCACACCTACTGGGCTCAGAAAAAAGTTTTTGGGTTCTTATGTTACTGTTATATTCTGGAGTCTGTGTATCTGCTTTTTGCCGCTGTATTGGAATGGATCCTATGCATTTTATACATTTATATCTACAAGATATATATATATATATATATATACACACACAATGAATTGTTATTCATTTTAAGCATGTTACTTAGTTACTTCTATGAATTATTCTGTAACTATAGTGAAACTAATAGGAAAGATATGTAGTTATAAGCGTGAGGACCCATCGACGAGTCCTGGGAGTTTAGGGGGTTAAACATCCAAAAGCTTATACTATCTGATGTCTAAATTATACACGTGTTGCTGTTATGCCTCACAGAAGACTCATTTCAGTTCACTCCAATTCATGGTGATTTTCCAACAGTCATGTCCAGAGGTTAATGTGAGTCCAACCTGTACCCATAAAACATAAGGCTGTTGTACATAGCCAGGCCTTAGGCCACTCTCCAAGCAGTTAAACAAACGATCTTACAATTAAACCATCATTGTTGTAGTTTAGGTTTTTCTTGGTGAAGGACATGTGTAACATTAGGGATGTGGCAGGGGGTGACATTATCAGAACCAAAGGACTGCTGACTGAAACATGTTCTGTGTTATAAGTGCCATAATTACTCAGGAGTTACACTTGATTATTAACATTGTGTACTTTAATAACAAACAGACCATGTTGAACATGTTGAACTAGTTAAGCGATTGGCAGAAATGAGGATGTGTCCTCGGTAGGTGGAGTATCAGTGTCTAGCACCTAACATGTTTCAGGGCATAACACCGGCTCAACCATATTCTTGCCTTCTTTACCTTCTCCTTGTAGCTACCTGTGATTTAGTTTTTGTTTTCTGTGCAGTCCGACTGGAATGAGTCAGTTGGCCAGCTGGGAGTGAGATCTGCTCAATCACACTTGGTTCAGGATGGTTTTTAATGTGTAGATAATCATCATTATGTTGTATATTACTTTTGAAACCCGTCTGCCAGGAAATTAAATGAATGTGTGACACTTTTATATTTTTCCATGTACCCTATGACGTTCCCAACAGTTAATGAGTTTTCAAGATGTGTTTCTGAAAGGAATTTTTCAAATTTAATAACTCCCAACCATAGCCAAGACAGAGAAAAGAACACTGGGCTCCCAATATCTATGTTAGGTATTATACTGTCTTAATGTATTCCTAAAAGTTTAAATCATGCAAAAACAGTGCCATATGTGTCCGTTTCATTTAAGCTCTGTGGAACAACTATTTTTAAACCATACACTTTTCTATTTATACGTTTTACCAAGTATGATTCAGTTACTGCTACTGTTATTCTCCAACTGCCATCGGATCACCAGGCACGAGTCAACTCCAGCAGTCTTTAACCTCTCAGGGAGAATATGTGAGGTCCAGTATTTCCCAGCATGTTTATCTGTATGTCTGTCCTTTTCTCTATCACTCTTCGTATTATCACCCTCTTCCTCCGTCTTTCTCCTTGTTGCGTTTTGTCATGGTCCATCTGTCTCCATGCACTTGACCATAATTCTGGCACAGAAGCAAATCCCAATGGAAAACATTAAAATATAATTCATGGTTTGTGATGAGTGTGCAAGCATGCAGATAAGACTAATGTCTCTGCTACGTAATCGTCTGTCTGTCCAGATGTTTTCTCTCTTTTTCTTGTCTATTTTAGTGCCTGTTTTTCTCTGCTGTCCTCTGAACAGGATTATCATGAGTGTCATATGTATCTAGAGGGAGGAATGGTTTCTTCATTAGATGATGCAAGATTGAAAAAGACACACTGTTATCCTACCTTATTTTTTTTTGTCTCTTCAATGACTTTCCCAAAGTTGTTTTAAAAAAAGGAAAAAGTGCAGTTTGCAATATCTAAAATATTAAATATGTATATTTTTGTATTTACTAAAAGCTTAAACTCCCAGCCTATTATTTAGCAATTCATCATAAAGCATTGTTTTCAGTAAATATTATGAATTATTCAGTGACTACATTGAAATTGTACAGTGACAATATGTAAGTTATGCAGTTATGAAAGTGAGGACTGTAAGTCTGAAGCCACTGATCATGCCAGAGTTTCTTTTATGACTATACCATGCTTGTAGTTGTTACAAAAAGCTGTGTACACACTTAAGGGCTCTTCAATGGTTCCTAAAGGGGTTGTACTAGGTACCACCTATGGTAAACTCTCAGTTGTAGGGTTCCACATAGAACCTTTAAAAGAGAGAGAGCCTTTATTTGCCATATATACATTACAGTTCAGTGAAATTATTTTCTTCACATATTAGTTAGGACGCTGGGGTCAGAGTTCAGGGTCAGCCATGGCAGCGGAGAGGGTTAAGGGCCTTTCTCAAAGGCCCAACAGTGGCAGCTTGGCTTGAACCTTCTGATCAGTAACCCATAGCCTTATCCACTGAGCCACCACTGGCCCAGAGGGACAAGTGAAGAGCCTTTAAGGTTACTGGATTAATCCTTTTTTCACAGTGTGCAGAGTAACACCATGAAGGCAAGCAGTGATTTTAAAGTTTAAAAATATTTACCAATGAAATCTATTGAAAATCTACAGTATATGTATTATTTTATGACACACATTTAGTAACATCTATAGGTTAACCATTTTTTTCCCTAAAACATATTATCTCATAAAATTTTACTGCTCTGATGTTACAAGTAAATGCTATAAATGTTACAACCCTTGCATCGACCCACAGCTTTTAATGATTTAAATTCGAAATTAACGTGCCTGATTCAGTTAATTTACTATATCCATCAGAATGTGCTAATTGTGTGTGTATAAAATATACTAGAGGTCTATATACTCTATACTGAGGTTTGAATGTTTGTGTGCATGCTGTCCGATCCCAGGTGTATTCATGCCTCAAACCCAGTGTTCCTGGGATATGCTCCAGATCCACCATGGTTCCAGTGGTTACTGAGGATGAATGAATGAATTATTTTTTTCTCTTTCGGCTACTTTGGTTTGGGGTCACCACAGTGGATCACCCGTCCACATATTTTGATTCTGGCATGAGTTTTACACCAGATGCCCTTCCTGACACAACCCTCCCCATTTTCCAGGCTTGGGACCAGAACTGAGAGAGCACTGGCTAGCGCAGCAGTGGTTGGGGTCGGTTCTCTGACCAGGAATCGAGCCTGGGCCCTGGGAATGACAGCGCCGCATGCTAGCCACTAATCCACCAGGGAACTGAAAATGAACGAATGAATAAATCTCCTAAAAAACAACATTTTAATGTTTATTTTTAAAAAAATACATATAAAAGAATTTTAAATTCTTTTAAATTGCATTTTGTTAGCTCACTTTGGTTTTGTCAGGTGATTTGTCAGGTCATTTATAAATAAAAGTATACTGCATGTGTCTAATTTGATCTACACCATTCAGCAGCGAACACAGAATACTTTTATGGCATGTAGCTCAGACTTTTTGTGCAGACATCTTGTGGAAGATTAACATATAGCATGCTACAGGAAAGCCAAAGGTACAGTAGTTCTGTTGTGCTGTATTCCCCATACGTTTTAGATTTTACGTGTTAATGTCTGTGTAGGTTTGATACGGCAGTCATGGCTATACATACACCACTAACCATAAGTAATTGTTTTGTTTTTGCTCTATGCCACAGCACATTGTATTCATGATCAAACCAAGAAATAAGCCAAGTAGCACTTTTATTTTCTATTTTATTTCCACTGAACTATAAACTAAGCATAAAACAAAATAAGCAATAAGCAAAATAAGCAAATTGCTAAAAAATTACCACCCTGCCTATCTGATTACCAAATAAACAAGATGAAACATCATATATAATCACTTCCATATGGTTTAGATAACTAACAAATTTCTATGTAAACTAAACATAACACATACACTACACATTCTATACAGTCTAGAAGTAGTCTACAGTATATACACTATATGGCCAAAAGTATGTGGACACCTGACCATCACATTCATATGTGTTTGTTGAACATCCCATTCCAGAATAAGGCCCCCCTTTGCTGTTATTACAACCTCCACTCGGCTTTCCAGGAGAGTTTGGAATATGGCTGTGGGGATTTACCTGAGCATTAGTGAGGTCAGGTACTGATGTTGGGCGAGGAGGCCTGGCACACAGTTGGTGTCCCAATTCAGAAAACAAGAGTGAGACAAACAGTCTTAGAATCCTAAAAGGTCTCTTGGTTTGTCCTTCTGTGGCAACATTTAAATAGATAGTTTCACTTTCAGAGAGGATTCCATGCTAAGAACCCTTAAGTGTCCAAAAACCCATCAGAAACCCTTTTGTATAAGAGATTGCAGTCTGTGATCAATTATAAAGTTTCTTAGTTGTTCACTGACAATGTATCTCACAGTATACGTTAACGTGTGACTTACTGGACAGTCACGTTTATCATATTATCAAGGTTTCTCCTTCCCTGATTCCATTATGTTTCTCATGGAGAATTGATTTGACTGTGTTTACCTGTTTCTTGATTCCTTGTTTCCCCGAATGTGTTCACCTGTTCCTTGAGTCCTTGCTTCCCAGATTATGTTCAACTGTTTCCCTTGATTAGTAAATAATTCTACCCTCTGTGTTTCCCCATGTCTTTGCAAAGTCTTGTCAAATATTGTCAATTCCTAGTATTGTTTAGAGTTCTGAGTTCCTTGTGGGTTTCCTGTTTTTGATCCTGGCATGTTCCTTTATTTATGAGTATGGATTATTCTATGTTAACTCTGTCTGCATGTTTTTGACCCCTGCACTGAAATCTGGCTTTGATTTTTGGATTGAACCAATAAAGCTTTTGCAGCATATGTACACACGTGCCCTGTTTCCAATCAAAGATTACACATATGGTGAATGTGCAGTCAATACATACACTAATTCAAATCCTGCTTCTACACATGAGAGTAGAATGAGATAATCTGTTCCTGGCCAAGTGGCATACAGCTCAGTTAACTGAGCAAAGTGACATATTTGCGTGTATGCAAGTGATATATCACTGTATGATCTAAAACTGTGCAAAATGATATAGTAGTTTTAGGGGTGTTTGCAACTAAACATCTGGAAGAACACTATGACAATTATACTCCTGCCATTCATTATTTAGTAATCCACCCACTAACACCTCAAAACTCTACACGGTTGATTCATTCTTAAGCATCTGCAATATTAGCTTACATGTATGAAATGCTGGTAGCATGAGACTCTGAAGAAGGAGTGAGTGGTAACTATGGGGCTCATCTGAATTACTGGGCAGTAATGCTAATATTCCACCTGCAATGCATTTAAGCCACGGGCAGGCACTTTGTTGGCCACTCCTGTGTTTTATTACTCTGACAAAGAGCGGGCAGCGTGTGAGTTTTTCCATTTCTCCTTACAAAGAACCGGCATCTGTGTTATGCAGCTGCTTGTCATCAGATTATTAAAACAAGAAAGTGGAAAAAAAAAAAACGTGATAAAAACCAGTCAAATGATCTTTAATGGTGTCTATCAGCTGAATACATTGGTGGGTGCTTGATGCAGGGAAGCTCTATTTACTATGATAATTACTTTGGCATAGTTTAAGCCTCACAGAATAGTATATGGGTTGTATAAAGGCAAATAATAATTTAAATAGACCACGCTAAATAAAACCAGAAGAAAGTATATACTCGCTATGGTGTCTTTTAAGACTATTTTTTGTCATATTGAGGTAAATAATTAGTTCATCTTAGAGGAATAACAAATACACAACTTAAGATATACTTTCTGATTTAGCTGCAGTAAATTGACCACAGCTACACACATGGTTCTCCAAATGCCTTTTCACCCACAGTCATTTTCTTAAAATGCCCCTTTTTCTTTTTACATTTTTTTGTATAAAGCCTCAAATAGCACACTAGCTAACATGAGTCCACTGAAAGTTCATGACTATCTTCATCTTTAATGCACATTTAAGTTATAAAGCTGTTGTGCCAAAGTGCTCTCTCTCTCTCTCTCTCTTTCTCTTTCTCTCGTAAACATACATGCCATAATCAGGTAATAAGCAGTGTTACAATACATTCTTACATTCAAGCTATGGTGGCTTTTAGAGTTTTTATGTCTCTGTAGTGTCTGCTGTAGGTCTACAGGCATATAGGATATGGCTGTGTTGCCACTATTGATTTCAGATTTGAGAGCATCACACTGTGATGACATCATGATTTCCAATTTCCTTGGGAAAAGTTACTGTGACTGAGGTAATGAGCAGTTATTAAAGAACTCTAGTCACTTTGGGAGGCACACAGGCTCCATTTCAGGGTTTACAACTGACTGATAAAAACTCCTCCAAGTCCACAGCGGACATCATATTTGTCAACCATTATATGATGTACATATTATATGAGCTTATTATTCAGCTATTCACCCTAAGGCATATTTTAAAGTAACTATTATGAATTAATTCATACAGTGACACTAATAGAAAAAGCATGTAGTTGTGAGTGTGAGGAATTCTGGATCATCAAAAGATCATGAGAGTTTAAAGGGTTACATTTTCCAAATCTATTCAAAAATGATTCAAATAAATTATTCAGATGTATCCTTGAAATAGTAAATCTTAGTTAAATTAATTGGATGAAAGGATTGAGCACTGAAGAAAATCTACTGTCATGGCAGCTGTCTGTAAACAGGAACATTTCCTTGCATCCTCCTCAAAATGACAGACCTACATGTCTTATCATCCATGACATGACCCATGACCTCTCCCTCACTCCCTGGACTTCTAATCACAAATACACCTGTTTCCATTCACTTGTTCCCTACAAATACACACAGCACTTTTCACTGTGAAGTATCCTATCTCATTATGTCTTGCCAATCTGAAACGTTCCAGTTTCAGCAAGAACGTGTCCTCAGAGTAGAACCTGATGTGCTCTGCTATTTTAGCCCGTCCTCCTTAAGGTTCAATGTGTTGTGCATTCTGAGATGCTTTTCTGCTCACCACCATTGTAAAGTGGTTATTTGAGTTGCTATAGAATTTATGTCAGCTGAAACCAGTCTGGCAAATATTCTCTGACCTCTTTTATCAACAAAGTGTTTCTATCTGCAGAACTACAGCTCACTGATTGTTTTTTTTTTTTTTGCACCATTCTATATAGAGATAGTTGTGTGTGAAAATCCCAGGAGGGCAGCAATTTTTGAAATACTCAAACCAACCTGTCTGTCACTGACAACCATCTGCATGATTTTATGCGTCACACTGCTGACACATGATTGGCTGATTGGATAATTGCATGAAAGTACAGGTTTACAGGTGTTCCTAATAAAAGCTGGTGAGTAGACTGGAACTGGCTCTATAGGCCCTTAAATACAGGCACAATTGCTCTCCCAATTAACTCCAAATTATGCCATAGGCCCATCAGAAGCTTCAAAAGTGATTACATCAATTTTTGGATATTCTGGAAATAAATCTGTCTCCAATTGATTTATCGTTTTCAAACCCCTGATGTGAACAAATCAGATGCCCTAATTGACATTCCAGAGGAAATGTATGGTAACATTAAATGTCTGGAGTTGTGAAAAACTGAGAGTGAATATCTTGAGCCTAAGTGTGAAAATGTTTGGCCTCGACTTTATAGTCATGACTTATTTTTGCCCCCCACCCCCAACATACACACACATACACACACAGCAGACTTCTGAGTGCTTTATCTATTGCGGGGGAAAAATACACTGCAGGAAAATGGAGGTACACTGAGTAGGCTGTCTGCTTTTGTGTTGGGGTTATTAAGGACAGCTACTTCACAGTTAAGCCTGCTGGAGAAGGGCTGGCCCTCATTAAAGAGAGGCTGTCGTTCCTTCCTAATGATTTATAGCAGTTGTTAAAGAGAGTTAAAAATGAGCCTCAGATCACATGATCAAAGCTAAATAATAGAAGGTGAAATGAAATAATGGAGGACAGGAATATTAATTTAATCATGTTTTCTTGTGTTTCCCAATATGAGGGGAGTAAACTGTCCGCAAGAATTCTCAATAAAAACAGGAACTTTTCTTATTTTTACAGCTCTTTCATTGTCCTTTGTGCTGCAATTCATAAATTATTGTGCTTTAGTGACGATTTACACAAATCTTCACGATAGTCTTTATTTTCCGTCCGTTGATTAATATCTGGCCTTGGACAGGATAACGGCTTGGTAGAAAACAAGATGCAGCATGGAATAAAGCCAGAGCAGAAGTCATCCACATCCATTT